ATGAGGAAGCCTGTAGCAAACTTTGAAACATGTCAAAGCCCGATTAATTACCAGTTCCAAAGTCTGGGTGCAGAACTACATGGAATGAATTCTTGGAAGTACCTACCTCATTTGCTGAATAATTGATACTCAACTGGATTACGTATTACCTTTGGATTATTTGCTAAATAATTAACCGTAATCATTTGATCAATTTTTAATAATGATTTATAATTTCATTGTTCGACCTTTGACTTTGATGTTAGTCCACGTTGCTCAAACTATGTCACATACCGAACTTTAGCGTTTTTAGCCTCTGTTGTACAATAACTCACAGCATCCGGGATAATGTCGGTAATGAGTGAAATAACATTTTTATTATCCGTATATTGTTGTTGGTTATTTATTTTTTTGTTAGTAAATATATGTTGTATATTTCTACTCCTTGTACTGATTTTTGCTGATATCTACCGAGTCCGTTCAAAGCATTTCCCCCAGTTTTGTATGTTTGTTCAACAAATAAACATCTACTTTTGCTTGACACGTTTATCATTTTAAATAGTCAAGTCTTGCTGGCGACCGAACCCATCTCCATATTTGAGATGGGTTAATCACATGCGAGTTAATCAGATCATGGAGGTAAAAAAGATCTCCATGGTTATATGGACTGGAGCTATTTGTTTAGTGCGTAAGACGTCAAGTTTGTGGGTGATATTCGCTCACATTCGATCAGTGTCAGATAATAAAGACAGCGTAAAGTACATCTAAACACGGTTACGGATTTAGTAACCGTGATCTAAACAATACACTATTTATTCGCTTTCTTTTTATTTTTTAATTTGCTGAAGTCATGGAGGTAGCAAAGATCTCTTTTCTACCTCCATGGCTCCATGCTGAAGTCTACTAAATCTTTGGTGCCACACCCATGAACTCAAAATTGATTGCTCGCTGGCATTCGACCCAAATAAAATTCAAACAATTTGTCATACATTTATGTTTTAAAAAGATTACATACTAGTATTATGATTTGTGTGCATGTCATCCACTTTTTGACGTTTTTTGAGGAATTTCCATAGCAATCCGAACATTATTTCATAAAAAAAAAGTTATCTAATAATTCGTGCCAATAACAAGACACATTTTATAACATGCATATGTTTTTTTTTCATTACGTGTCACCAAACAATAGCCTTTTTTTTTTCTTTCTAAAGTTAAGTTTCACGATCCCCCGGCGAGTTAGCGCTAAATAGTAAAGGACCCCACCGTTTCAAATCATACCGTATCACCTGGTCTTCATATCACATGTTCTACGTAGTAAATTGGATCTAGTGCATACGTATCAAATATACGCCAAGACACGTAGTACAAGCATTGACAGGATCATGCACAGTTGTGATTATTCATAGTGAAAAGGTAAATATGCTACGGGGATAATATGGTATATACTAGATAATATTTCATAATCCCGGCTAAGTAACTATTCAAAATAGTTAGAAGACATTTTCATAAGCTACTTACTGATGAACGGCCATTGCCCAAAACGTCTAGTTAATTCTAGCTGGGAAAATACGTTTAAAGTCATCAACTTGGTATAAAGTCGAATTTCGACTTACCAATTTGTAAAAACGCGGATTTTGACCTTGTACAATGTATTGTGATCATGACTTGGGAGAGATCAAAATGGATTCATATTACAGAAATCATATACACATCCACAGTGACCCTAATGTTATTGATGCCCACACATCAGTGGTGCGGATCCGACCCAGTGGGGTTTCGGAGTCCAGTGATCATTTACAGAAAATAAAATAAAAAGTCTGCCTTTGTTTCCTATAACCAGAGACGGGCTGAGGATTCGGGGATTGCAGTGAATCGCACTATGGTATATGCGTTGAAGTGAAACCATGGACGTATTCCATGGTGAAACCATATACTGGTGAAACGAAGGTATCGATCAGTGTGTGTAAGAGGTCCTAAATCGAACTCTGTTGACAGTGTGTTATGTCTACACAGATATTGCGGTATTAGATCAGTTTTCCCAAGTATTTCCCGAAATATCACATATTCTATTTCATACCCACTTATCAAATATCATGATAGCAGTGTATCCGTCATCCTATAGCAGGATTTGACAGTGGACCAATCACAGACAGACGTGCATGGCCAGACATTT